ATTTTACTTATAATTTATAACCATTTTATGGGTCATGCTAAAAATTAAACAAAATTTAAAAAATACTAGGTGCATTTCGATTAGGGCCTAAGTTATATAAGTTTAATAATGATCGTGAACATGGTGCACTAACATGTGGATAGTTTTCATAAATAAATATTTGTCAAAATTTTGAATGAGAAAATTTTGTTTAAAAATAGGTTGATGATTAGATTTAAAGCATATTTGATAAAACTTAATTATTGATTTTGTAAGGCTAAATTTTTTAATAAAGTGTAAAATTTTTAAATTACATAAATTTATTCTTAAATTTTAAATGTGAAAAATGCTTGGAGTATTTGAAAATATTAAGTTTATTCATAAATATTTAATTTTCAAATGCTAGAAGAACTATTTGAATAAGTATAATTTTTTTTTAATAAAAATGGTTTATTAATAAAGTTATTTCATACATATTTATAATGTATCATGTCTATTTTTTTTATTAAAAAAAATTTGTGATTAACTCTTAAAAATTTTTAAAATTCTTATTTAAAATGTGGATTATGCAAAAATTTATTAACAAATGAGAAATTTTTTTTATAAATTCACATAAAATACATGCATTATCTTTTATTTGAACCATGCTAACTATAAGTCAAGTAGTCATTATGGCTCAAGCTACTTACTAAATAAATATTGAGATTTAGATACTAGCCATTAAAATGGTCTAACAAATTTTCAATTAAATACACAATAAAAAAACTTAGGCCTATGGGCTAGAGTTAAATTGTTTTATATACATATTCAGTTTAATTTATTTATTTAGTATATTAGTTCTAAATTTTTTTAATATAAAACAATTAAAAAATATAAAAAATCAAAAATTAAAAATGATCTATATGGAGTTTAAATTAAGAAAATGGTCATAGGGTTTGCAAAATGTTCAATTGGTCTAACCTCTAAAATATTAGTAATTATAATTAATTAATATTTAATGAGACTGTTTTAGAGGTTATGCCTAGTAGCCTAGCAGAATCGAAATAATCCAAATCTTATTTGAGAAGTGGGTTGAAGATTAGAGTCACTGATACTCTAATTTTTTTTTTCTATTTTTTATTTAGGAGTTGTTTGGAATGACCTAAATAAATGTACTTTTTGTCTTTTTACAAAAAGATGTGCAGAAAAGTAGAGAGGTGATGTGATGGAAAAAAAGATAAAAAGATTGATTATTTTTGGATTGCCAAACTTGACCTTATTCTTCAATTTGATTTATTGATAATGTAATTGATTTTACATAATAGATATGAGATAATTGATAAATTAAAAAACTAAAATTACAAAATTCATCAAGATGAAATATATTTATATTTTATTGTAAACATAATTATTATATAAGAACTAGTTAATGTTAAATAAATTTTATTTTATATTATAAATAAGATTTTTATTATAATTTAATTTTAAAAATAATTTTTAATTATTTATTTTAACTCATGCATAACACCGATATTGTACTAGTTTAATATTAAACCAAAGAAAAATGATTTGGACCTCTAAAAAACACCTCTAATGCACCTCTAATTTGTCTTTTTCTTCTCTTATTTTTGTCTTTTACTTCACTCTTTTTTTTTTATTCCCGGACAGTTCATTAGAGCTGTACGGCATGACCTCTAATTAAAGGTCTGCAGTGCAGCAGGATTGTTAAACCAAAGGGAAATGATAGAGAGCTCTAAATATAGAGCTCTAATTTGAGCTTTAATGATGTGTCAAAGCAAAAAAAAAAAAAAAAACAGTAACTCTAAAGTCTTTCCAAAATCAACAGCAAAACAAGGCACAAACATCACATCAGGGTGGGACCCACCTTCCCATTAGAGCTATTAGAGCTCCTATATTAGAACTCTAAAGCATTTTTGTAAACCAAATGGTACCTCGGCTTTTCCGAATGCATACATACATCTATTATAAACTTGTCCTTCAAATAACACTTTGGAGTCGTTCAAAAAAAAAAAAAAAAACAAAACTTTAGAAAGAAAGGATATTACCGTATATTGGGCCGCAAATTTCTACACTGGGCTCCAACAAGGCCATGTGGGCTACGAGTTGAAAGACTTGACTCTCGCTCCTCCGTCGTTCACGTACGTGCTTCACTATCAATTATTTACTATGTACATATATATATATATATATATATACAGACCCAGCCCTCGAGATTGGGCGTATAATAAAGACATTGAAAGGGATAAGGATCATATACACTTCCATCTTAGACAGACAATCAGGGTACAAAACTAAAAGCTCAGCCTACTCCATAAAATGAGTTGTCTTCATTTAGGTGCCTGGAAACCTCATTTCTTCTTGTTCAAAATAATAATAATAATAATAATAATATTTAAAAATAAATATTTGTTGTAGAATTGCTATTAAGTAAATCTCTAGGCTCCCACATGGCCACGTAGCAGATGACTTGAAAGACTAGACTATTGCTCTCCGTCCTTCACGCTAGTGCTTCACTATTCATTACCCAAACTTAATTATTCAAGAATTATATAAAATTATTGTTTTAGGATTTATAATTATTTTATATATAGATTTCATATTATATAAATTTAATCTTTACTGTACAATCTCTCACTTAGAAAATTTTGGGTAATTAAGCCCGGGAATGTATACTTTGTCCAATCAATTAGTGTCTGTTTAGTTTGATTTTTAAAAATTATATTTAGATGAGTTTTGTTTATTTTTAGTGATTATTTTTTTAATATTTTAATCAATTCTTTGTATTTTTTAGATACACTTAATCAAGATAAATATATAAAAAAAAAAAATTGGCTAAAATATTCTTAAAAATTACTAAAAATTGATAAAAATTCGAACAAAAATCTGTGTACATTTTTATTTAGGTTTTCATTTGTTTTTAGTATTTCTTTTCATTTAGTTATTTTTTTAAAAAACTTTTTTGATGCATCTTATCTTTATTTATTTACAAAAAAAAAAAACTAAAATATGAAAAAAGTTTAAGGGTAAATTACACTTTGCACCAAAAACTATTTTGGTCCCTATATATGAAATCATGACAATCAACCTCCTACACTTTTGGTCAAATCTTGTTTTAATCCCTATATATAAAATCATGACAATCAGCCTCTTATACTTATGGTCAAGTATTAGTTTGCCCTTTTGTTACTCCATTATTTAAGTTTTTAACATAATCTAGTCATGTGACAAACATATGATTACGAAATAAGGGTAAGAGAGGAAAAATAATTCATATTTTCCACCAATATACATTTTGTTCCACGTGATAAGTATGTGAGAGTTATATAATACACAATATATATACATATGTTCATATGTTGAAAATTGAGGCAAAGAGGCAGGAAAATAAAACTTTTGAAAAAAAAAAAAAATAGGAGCAAAAAAATCAAAGAGAAATGAAGAAGAATAGATAGACATATGTGTTACTGTGGAATACAAAATTTCATGATTCTAATTTTTGTAAAACCCTAGTTCATTTCCTTAATCATTCACAATTTGTTTTCACTGAATATAGTTAAAATTTGATGTAAAATTTGGAAAGAAATGTGTATAGATGGGAAATTTGAGTAATTTTTCTTTTTTACCCTCATTTTGTAATCACATGCTTATTACATTACTGACTTCTATTAAAAACTTATACGATAAAGTAAGAAAAAGAGGATACTGACACTTGACTAGAAGTGCATGGAGTTAATTGTCATGATTTCATAAGTATATAGGGTTAACTATCACAATTTCATGTGTAGGAATCAAAGTAAGATTTCACCAGAAGTGTAGGGGGTTGATTGTCACGATTTCATATATAGGGACAAAAGTGAGATTTGGTACAAAATATAGGGGTGCAAAATATAATTTATTCAAAATTTAGAAAAGACAAATGAAAATTGATTTAAAAATAATTTCTAAAAATTGTAACCAAATATTTTGTGATTTTTTGTGAACCGAACTTTTCAAGGAAAGAAAATTTAATGCTATGTGGTCATATAAAAATATATAAAGCGTATAAAAAAAATTAATGTGTTAATTATATTCGCTATGTTATGTCTGTTTTTTAATTATGAATTTGGGTAAACTTTGAAAAGAGAAAGAAATATGTGAAAGCTTTTTATTATATGCCAAATGTACTGCAAAATAAATAAATAAATAAACTGCACGGAAATTTAATTTAATTAATTAATTTAAATTTTTGAATTTCAAAAAAGGACGCTCCGTGGGTATCATAGTATTCATAAGCCCTAATTCTTAGATAATTGGTTGTTGGTCAGATTTAATCCAATCCAAAGTAATGGACCTACTATTGAGGTAAGAGAAGAATACACCAACCCCCAACGCAAGAGGTAGAGTCACGATCAGAGTATAGTGTAGCCAGTTTCACCATTTGAAAAATGGGCTACTAGTCGTGCCCCCGGGAGTCAAGCTCTATTCAATTGTGCAGAAGGAAGGCACCTTCCCATCCCACCACCACCCCCGTTGGTCACAAAAAATTAATTTGTGAACCATATTCATTATAGAAAGTCTAAATGCCAAGAAAAATTATACAATACTTTTACCCACATTGTAACTGTGTGGTAGAGATTGAATTGGTATTATTTTTATCTATGTATAGAATGAATTTTGACCTTCCATTGATATTTCTAGTAACTTGGTAAATTTTTTTAATGTTTCTGTAATCATTGGTGAGATGACATCTAAAATGAATTTAACCTTCATAGTCATTTTGTGTGTCCAATTTGCTGTCTTTTTGATAACTAGGATCCTGCCCATTAAACGCGACTAATCCGAAGGGTCTAATTTGCAGTCTTTACCAAGTATTTGAAATAGACCGGCACAGTTGGATGACTTTAGAGGACTTAGCAAGCATGACTTTCATACAATTATTATCAAATTGCAAGCCTTTCAAAGAATGCAAATATATATTGATTGTTAAATTTGAGAATCTTTCTTATTGTATCAAATTTACTTGAGCTGTGACTGCATATTATTAAAAGAATTCATAGAATAATCTTGCAGTCAATATGTTTAAGTTGTTGAGGGAACTTCAATCATTTGTCTCCACTCTTGCTATCATTGTGTGTGTGTGCATGTCTTTGTTGAATAAAGCTTCCCAAAAAACAACCTTGGTCGCCGCCACCATCAACACCACTACCATCACTACCACCACACTTGGTGGAAATGATACTGATTACTTAGCCTTGCTTTCCATTAAAGCTCAAATAACTAATGATCCAATGCTAGTCACAAGCTCATGGAATGATTCTCTCCATTTCTGCCTGTGGGAAGGTGTTTTATGTGGGCGTCGCCATCAAAGGGTCACTGGCTTGAGTTTAGAGTCACGCAATTTAGAAGGTTCTCTATCTCCTTCCATTGGAAACCTTAGTTTTCTCAAAATTGTTGATCTCTCAAACAACAACTTTCAAGGTGAAATTCCTCATGAAATGGGCAGGGTATTCAGGCTTCAAGTTCTAAACTTGACCCATAACTTGTTGGAAGGACAAATTCCAGCAAACCTCTCAAGCTGCAACAACTTGAGGACGCTTAGTTTAGGCAACAACAAGTTCATAGGAAATCTTCCTATTGAGCTTGGTTCATTGAACAAATTGGAGCAACTTTATATGAACTCCAACAATTTGAGTGGAGCAATCCCACCTTCTTTTGGGAACCTTTCCTCTCTCAAACTTTTCTCCGTATTAGACAACATGTTGGAGGGAAGTATTCCAGACTCACTAGGCAGCCTGAAAAGCTTGACATATCTTTCATTCTCCTCAAATAAAATATCAGGTATGATTCCTTCATCTATCTATAATATCTCATCATTGACTACTTTGGGGGCAGCAGGAAATCTACTTGAAGGAAGTCTTCCTCAAAATTTAGGCCTCACTTTGCCCAATATTAAACGGCTTATTATTTGGGAAAACCAACTCAGTGGATCAATTCCGCTTTCACTGTCAAATGCTTCAAAACTAGAATTCCTTGACTTATCGAATAACAAATTTTCTCCTGGAGTGGCTGTTAATTTTGGAAATTTAAAGAATTTCTTGTGGCTAGGTTTATTTGAGGATGGTTTGGGAACTGGGGATGCTAATGACCTTAATTTCATCTCGACTTTGGTCAACTGTAGCAAATTGAGGCTGTTGAGTTTAGACTCCAATAATTTTGGAGGTGTTTTGCCCAATTCTTTAGTGAACCTCTCAACCCAACTTCAGAGTTTATCAATTGCAGGAAACCAGATATCTGGAAACATTCCAGTAGACTTTGGAAATCTTGTGAGCTTAAATGCTGTAGATATGAGCTATAATCGATTGACTGGAACTATTCCAACCTCTATCGGTAAACTTCATAAGATTCAAGAACTGGGTTTTGGTAAAAACAAATTGTCTGGGGAAATACCTTCCTCCATTGGAAACTGGACATTGTTGAACCAACTTTGGTTAGAAGAAAATGATTTTCAGGGAAACATACCATCAAGTCTTGGAAATTGCCGAGGTTTGATACTACTAAATCTTTATGGTAACAATTTGTCTGGTAGCATACCTCAAGAAGTAGTTGGTCTCTCATCTTTATCAAAAGCTCTAGACTTGTCTCGAAACTCTCTAACCGGTCATATTCCTTTGGAAATCGGTAGCTTGAAAACTCTTGTTGAACTAAATCTTTCTTATAACAAGTTATCTGGTAAAATTCCTAGCAGCCTTGGTAGTTGTGAGACTTTAGAATACCTTTTTTTGGACAACAATTCATTAGAAGGAGCCATTCCACAATCTTTGAGTTCTCTAAAGGGCATTGAAGAATTAGGTCTCTCACACAATAACCTCTCGGGTGAAATTCCAATATTTTTTGAAAGCTTTCCCTTTTTAAAGAATTTGAACCTATCTTTCAATGATCTCGAGGGAGAGGTACCAATAGGGGGAGTGTTCCAAAATGCAACTGCAATTTCAGTTTTGGGAAATAAAAAGCTCTGTGGGGGTATACCTAAACTACAATTGCCGGCATGTGCTTCAAAAAAAGCAACAAAGTTAATTATTCTTATAGTTTGTGGGGTTTTGGGTACTATTTTGGCATCATCTATTTTAATCCTCTGTTGTCTTAGAAGGGTGAGAAAACAATCTTTTGTGCCATCTTCTTTGCTGGATTCATCTAGGAATATCTCATACGGAAAGCTATTCAAAGCAACAAATGGGTTCTCTTCAGACAACTTGATTGGTACAGGAAGCTTTGGTTCAGTATACAAAGGAATTCTTCATCCAAATGAAAAGACTATTGCAGTGAAGGTACTTGACCAACAAAATAGAGCTTCAAGAAGTTTTACGGCAGAATGCAAAGCTTTGAGAAACATCAGGCATCGAAACCTTGTGAAAATTATAAGTGCTTGTGCAAGTATTGATTTCCAAGGTAACGATTTTAGAGCCCTAATTTATGAATTCATGGAAAATGGGAGTCTTGAAAGTTGGTTGCATCCAGTTTCACAAATAGATGTTACTGCTGCCCATGAGCAACCAAAAAGCTTAAACCTTCTTCAGCGATTAGGCATAGCAATTGATGTGGCTTCTGCTTTGGATTATCTTCACAACCATTGCCACATTCCAGTCATACATTGTGATATAAAGCCAGACAACATTCTCCTCGACAGTGACATGACTGCCCATGTCGGTGATTTTGGTTTAGCAAGGCTCTTACAACATCACAACAATGAAGTTTCTAATTGCCAAACTAGCTCTGTTGGTATAAAAGGAACCATTGGATATGCAGCGCCAGGTAATCCACCATATGACTAAGAGAAATATATTGTGCAACTGGTAAACTGAGGTTGAGCTAAACCACCACCTTGGTGTTCCAATTCCACAAAATATGTATATCTATGCATTTGTTAGTATAACTTATTGATTTGTTAGTTTTTGCAGCAACTTCTTCTTCTTCTTTATTTTTTTATTTATTTTTTATTTTTTTTTGGACATTTAATACAATGAAAAATGAAAGTGAATAAAAATTATTTTTTTTTTGTAGTTAAGAGAAAACAAACTTATTTATAAGGATAATGTTCTCCATTATTGAAAGGTTGAAAACGTTTTATGAACGTAATTCTTATCAACACCACTACACTATTACTGCCACCTTCACCCCCTACTACCACCACCACCACTACCACCACCACCATCATTATAGCCATTACCATCTCATTGTCGTTGTCTTCCTACCATCACCACCACCACTACCACACTAATACTACCACTTCCAGAACCACTACTACATTAGTTTAAAGGTCCATTGAACAATTTTTTTTCCGTTTTATCAAAACAAACGGGCTATAAGAGTGAATCTAAAATTTTTATCCTTGTATTGCAGAATATGGTATGGGAAGTGTGGTGTCCACTAGTGGTGATGTATATAGCTATGGAATCCTCTTGTTAGAATTGTTCACAGGAAAAAGGCCTACCGATGGCATATTTAAAGATGGCCTAAACCTTCACAAATTAGCTAAGATAGCTCTGCCCGAAAGAGTGATGGAGAATGTTGATCTGAAACTTGTATCAACTATAGAAAAGGAGGAAACAACTAGCATAAATTCCAGGACACAAATGGGAAGGGGAAAATCCCATGAGTGCTTAACTTTGATGCTCAAGATTGGAGTTGCGTGCTCTGAGGAATCCCCACGAGAACGAATAACCATTGTTGATGCGATTAAGGGACTGCATTTAGCTAAAGACATGCTACTTGGGAGAAGGATTTCAAGCAATGTGCAAACTGCTTCAAGGGGTAATTAAGGTACTCTGTTTTGGTGTTGGCCTTTAGTTTAAATTTTGGTTTTGAGTTATGTTACATGCTTATAAATAAAATGCTGAAAATTACACAAGAAGAGAGAAGAGATGGGGACCAAATGTTGGGCATCCCCTCTTCTTTCTCTTATGTGAAATTTCGTATGTTTTAATATATTATTTTGGTTTTGCTTTTGATTACTATCACCATCTAGAACAATTTTGAGTCGCCAAACTGAAATATCCAAATCAAGCCATTAAAATTGTAGAAATTGGAAAAGCTCTACGATGCATCAAGAAAGATGGTCTCAATATCTTATGAAATAATATTGGGAGTAATGCATCCAAAATTACTTGGATGTTTGTGGATCAAATTGACTCAAATAGAAAATTTTAAAATGAAAATTTAAAAGATCAATTTGACATAAATGCGTACTTTAAAGATCATAATTGTATGTTATTCTCATAAACTATAATGACAAAGATTTGACAAATTGATGAGGGGCGACATTCACTCCCTCATAGATATTAATAGGCTAAATGTTTTGTGAAAATTTCTTTCAAAAAATAGGCATGAAAGAAGTTTAACTCATTAGTTTACTTGTACATATATTGCTACAACATTCATTTGTGAAAAATTGCAATAGCTTATTATTAAAGGGATTTATTTTGGGATTAATCATTTAGGTCCAATTTGTTCAAACGATTCCTCTAATCTTAATCAATACACGTGTGTGGAATGTAAGTGACTATAAAATTTGAAGATTTATTTTATAAGGTCCAATGCAATTTACTTTAGGAAGGGTCTAATGTGACCCTATCTTAAGAAGGTTCCATAAGTAAAATAAAAAAGGACAAATTCATTTTTTTTTTCTTTGTGATTTGACATCAGAACACTTAATTTCCTATAGTTTAAATATAGCTGGAAAGCCCTCATGTGGTGTGGACAGAAGTGCAACTGTTAATATCGTTAACTATATATGTGAAATGACTATAATATTCCCAAATTATATGTCTTTTTTATTATTTTCTTTCTATTTCCTTTCGTATACACATAATTTATAATGTCTAATATTAATTCAATTAAATCACAATTAATTATAAAATTTTAATTATTTATTGCAATTCTTAAATTTTTATTCTACTTTTAGTTCAATTATATTTTAGATCACAACTAATCCTAAATATTTAATTACTTATTGCAATTCTTAAATTTTTATTCAAATTTTAATTTAACTATATTTAAGATCATAATTCATCCTAAATTCTTAGTTATTTATTGTAATTCATAAAATGTTAATCTAATTTTAATTTAATTATATTTTAGATCAATTTTTAATTTTTAATTGTAATTTAATTATATTTAAAATCAATCCTTAATTATATTATATTATAATTGACATATTAATCTAAATTTAGGCCTAGATTTTTATTCAAATTTTAATTTAACTATATTTAAGATCATAATTCATCCTAAATTCTTAGTTATTTATTGTAATTCATAAAATGTTAATCTAATTTTAATTTAATTATATTTTAGATCAATTTTTAATTTTTAATTGTAATTTAATTATATGTAAAATCAATCCTTAATTATATTATATTATAATTGAAATATTAATCTAAATTTAGGCCTAGAGAAAATAGGGGTAAAATTATCTTTTCGTTGTATTAATTTAACTTTATTTTTTCAAAAAACTAAACTCATTCTAAAAAATAGTGTATGATACATCTTCTGTTAGTTTGGATGAAAAAACTAAATGTTGCACTTTAGTCCAAACCACATAGGGCTTTTTGATTATATTTGAACTATAGGGGATAAAGTGTTCTAACTCCAAACCACGAGGGGTAAAACAAATTTAACCAACGAAAAATAAAAAATAAAAAATGTACAGGCATGAATTTTTTTGCACCAAGTTAATTTCACTATACCTCTCAATTATGCCCGAATGTCTCTATCCCTCAACTTTGAAATCATAAATTTAGATAAGTCAACTATAAAAATTCATTCATCGTCACTCTCTCAAGGATGTAATATTTATGTTTTTTATATGCTCAATATTTATACTTTTTAATTCAAGATCATGTCCTATTCTGCTGCAATTAATTAGGTGATAATTAATTTTTTTTGGAATTTGAATAAGCCTGAATCGTAGAACCAAACATAATCAAATTAATGTCTATAGTTTCGTCTAATTAATTACATAACTACAATGCCATAGAACCGGTTTGATTCCAAGTCAACTTTGAAACCGGACGCCTCTAATTTGTAAACATCCCTATTTTTCAAGGATTGAAAATTATAGAATATTTTTCATTTAAAGTTTATGAAAAAACAAAGGTAACCTGAGAGGGAGTTTTTATGTGCATTAGGACCGAGTTAGGCCAAGGTGTAGTAATGGGCCGCTATATGGGCCGCGGTAAAAAGGGCTTGGTGAAGAGGACTTTGTAGTTAGCTCGGTCAAGTATGGTTACAGTTACCACGGTCGGAGTGGTGATAATTAGCTCGGTCATAGTATTCAGAGCCGAGGTGTTTTGGCTTCTTAAGGTGGACTTTGCCCTTTTTAGCTCGGTCAAGGCTTGCTGCAGTTAGCTCGGTCTAAATAGAGAAAACCGAGGTACAAGTGAACAAGAGCCGAGCTATATGTTGCATATAAAGGCGCTGGATTAAGTATGACAAAGAGATAGTGTTAGCTCGGTCATACTATTATCCAAACCATGATAAAACCATATCGCTTGGTTTAAGCAGTGAGGGGGGTGTTGAAGGATAAGCATTATCTTTCAGGAGTGTGATTCCTATGAAGACTCTACATGGAGGAATAAGAGTCCTACTAGGATCGTGTCACGCAGAACCTATAAAAGCTCACAACACATCCTATGTAGAGGTAACACAACTTTGATTCTCGAATACACAAAGCTTTTGTCTATTTGTCAATTTTGCTGACTTTGGCATCGGAGAGGTATCCGGCATACACTCGCCGGCTAGCTTACATTTGTGTTTTCAGGGAGTAAAGCGACGACGTTTGGAGGAGCGCAGACTTGATCAACAGGATTATACGAGAACATTATTTCGTGCTCGTATAATTGGCGCCGTCTGTGGGAATTCCACAAAGAGCAAAACCTCTTGATCAAGCTTTCCTCTCTAGTTGGAAGCAATGGCGCACAATGAAGACTTGCCGCAATCAACTATTGATGGGCAAACCTCGGAGGGGGGTGGGAGGCGCGAAGGTTTGCCTTCTATTCCTCCAATGGCGGATTTAGAACCCCAGCGACAGAACCCCCGGAGGGATGCAAAGGGGAGGCGGGCTAACAGCCCCCATCGCTCTCAAAGTCCTGAAAGACAGAGGTGGAGGATGGACTCTCAAGTTCTGGAGGATCGCGCGAAGGAGCAGGACGAGTTTATACGAAGGATGGCGGTGGACATGGAGTCAATGATGCGCCAGATAAAAGGAAAAGGGGTGGCGACAAGAGAGGAGCGCAAAGGCAACACGCCCCCCCGCCACTTGGAAGATCGTGGTAAGCATACCACACCATCGCAAGCAGAAAGTAGGAGTCTTGGAACAGGTGACACTCAATCGCGGACTTTCAGGACTCGTTACTCCAGGTCTGAGAGAACGAGAACTAAGAGGTCGTGTTCTGAGGGAAGCACCTATCGGCCCTCACACACGCAGCAGACGTCATCTAGGCACACGGAGTTGCCTAGATCATCTGACTTGCGAACTGTGCTTGAAGAACGGGCCCGATGGAAGGAAGACACCAAGGCTCGCGACCCGCGCAGAGTTTCAGCCCTTCAGCAGTTGGCCCCTCGGATGCATGGAAGCGTCAAGGTAGGGATGTCAATGCCGCGCCTTGCTTGCGAACCAACAGACAAAGCATTAACAAGGCTATAGAGCTCGCCGTTCGTTCTGGCAATTGAGAACGCGCCACTACCCTTAGTGTAATACCCCTGTTCCGTAATATGTTAATTGGTCCTTAACATGATGTGATTATGTATTTTGATATGATTTTGTGTTCCACTATGTGAAAATATGTGGTTTGAAGTTCTATCTGTTCACCGTAGGAATATCTGTTTGAATAATCAGCTTTGGAAATTTAATTGAGGGCCTTATCGACCACAGAACCCGAAATCGATTACGCCATTGTGATTGGCATAATTTTTAGAGCCTACGGTGAAATTTAATTGAAAAATGATTCAAGCCAGATTAAATTGATTAATTAATGAATTGGTGCTCAAATATGTAATATTAAATTAATGAGGCTTAGTGGGGTTATATGGGACCCTTATGTATTCAACTCCCTCATCTTATTTCATTCTTGGCTGATTTAACTCTCTAGAGGAGGAGAGACCCGAATTAGAGAGAGAGAGGGAAGGAAATCAAAGTTTTGCTCTTGAATCTTGGAAGTCTTGAAGACAACTCTAGACTTGACCAAATTGGAAGAATTGAGCCCCTAGGTAAGCATTGATTCTTGAATTCATGAGTTTAATGTGTAATCTTGTGTGTTCAAGGGTTGTTTGTGATCAAGAGCATGATTTGAGTTGGTTTTATTGAAATTGAGGCTTGATATGTACATGCATGTAAAGAACTCCTATGGAATCACAAAATCTAGCATGTAATTTGTGAAATTGTGAAAGATTGGTAGTGTAATCCCACATGGAAGCATGTCTTTGTTAAATTTTATGGGAATGAGCACTAATTACATTATTTGAAGTGAATATGAAGTCAAATGGGCATGCATGTCTGAATAATTGAAGATGGGAGCTTTGAATGCATGAATATGTATGATAGAATTGAGTTTGGTATCAATTTGAGACATGCAAGTGTTTAATCCTTGAAATTGAGCTCCATAATAAGGTGTTTTGGTGTTTATACCTTGTTAGTATACTTATATGTGATATTTGAGCTACAACATGCATGATTTGTTGGTTAAAAGTCGGAACGGAGCTCAAGAACTCAACCTGGGATTCCCAGATTTTCGACGTCCGCTCGAGCGGGTGAAGTGACGCTCGAGCGGAGAAATCGAGCTCCCAGCATTTTCTGCAGACATGGTTCCCGCTTGAGCGGGGAAGTTGACGCTCGAGCGGGGAGCTATGTAGACAGGCAGTACGCTCGAGCGGCTGAGCTCACGCTCGAGCTGGAATTGAAGGCAACCAGTACTTTTGCAGACCTAAGGGTCCGCTTGAGCGGGGAAGTCCACGCTCGAGCGGGGACCATATTTTCTGAAATTCAG